ATGAAGTGGGTATTCACTGATGAAGCGTTCCATACTGACGATGATAAATTAATTTATCAAACACAGGTTTTCTGTACTCAGTTTAGATCTATACTGTTTATGTAAGGGTTGATCATAATTCAAGATTACTTAAGAACAAGAAAAATCATCGTAATTTAAAAGTCCTTATAAGTGAAGACACACAGTTACCGATAAAATTCCAATAGTTAGAGTAACATGGAAGGTTGTGAAAATTACTGAACTTTTCAATTTTCCATAATCGGTTAGACATTAATTCAATAATCGTTAAAAAGCCAATTCTCACTCAACAATGGGAATCCATAACCCCAACCCACGAATCAAATCCATAACCTTTAGAAATCTCAGCGACTGCTTATAATTTAGGTCAGTAGATTATCAATAATGGTTTGAAGTTGTTAACTTCAGTCGATTCGTAATATTGAGAGTATGGTTAGTGGGACTTATTTTTTCACAGATTGAAATCATGAGTCAGTTGAAGCTAGACCACCATTGAAAACCTGGAAGCACTGGACGGCCGTTTCGTCCTAGTACGGGACTCCTCAGCAGTGCGCATCCACGATCCCGAACCACGCGGGGCTCGAACCCAGGACTTACTGGCTTCGCGCCCGAGCACTTAACCACTAGACCACTGAGCCGGCATCCAACGGTGTTAATGTCTAACTTCAACCAATCCACGAAGTTGCGCCACCGTACACCATTGTCTTCAGTGAGTTACTATCTCACAACAGACCTGGTTGAACTCCACTGGTAACGGCTTCTCACTAGAACTTCGGGAGTTTTTCCTGAAGTCAGTCACTAGTGAGCAGTTGATTATTATCAGAATGGGTTTTGTGGAGATTTTAGGAAATTTCACAGATTGAAATCATGAGTCAGTAGCTAAGGAGTTCTGTAGTATGAAAAAAAGAATCCTTCCAAGTTTTTCGCTAATTGTCTAATGAGACTTAGTGGGTGATATAAAATGATGAAGGGAAGCGTAAAAGAGGAAGGCCAAAGAACACATTATGTCGGGAAATAGAAGCAGATATGAAAAGGATAAATAACAACTGGAAGGAGCTGGAAATGATTGCCCAGGACAGGGTTGGATGAAGAATGCTGGTGAGCGGCCTATGCTCCTTCACGAGGAGTAGCAGGCGTAAGTAAGTAAGTAAGTAAGTAAGTAAGTATAAAATGATGATAAGATTATTTAGTGAATTGGTTAGTAATATTAAGTTTTTATATTGAAGTAATCAATGATACATAAATATACATAGTTGCAATTGTATAGTAATATTCACCATCTGTCTAGTTTCTGGTTATTTGTAACTATACAATTGAATTATATACTATGTAAACAATTCAGTTTGTTAATATGATTATACTACACAACATACTATGACATAAAAAAACGAAGTCGGAATTATTTCAAATCAAAATGATTATACAGATAGTGTGTGTGTGTGTGTGTGTGTGTGTGTGTGTGTTATAAAGAAATTAGTTAGTACAGGTGATTACTGGAGATTGTAGAATTTTTTTTCCAATATAAATCATGAACTGATCTTAGCTAGATTATGATTGAAAACCCGAAAGGCGCTAGATGACTATTTCATCCTAGTATGAAACTCCGCAGTAATGCGCATTCATAACACTTAAGACCTACGGTATCACACGCGAACGATTAACCTATAGATGAAGGTTACGCAAGATCTTTTATTGATTGAAGTTAGATATTAGGATTATTGGATGTCGGCTTAGTGATCTACAGGTTAGGTGTTCATACATGGAGGTCAGGTCGTTGATGTGCACCTACTAACGAGTCTCATACTGGGATGAAAAAGGAGTCTACAATTAACAACTAGATAATGATAAGTGTGATAGAACATGAATGTGCATTTCAATTCATTTTACATCACTCTACAATATCATATCAAATTAATATTAATGATTCAGATGAAAGATAAAAATAGAGTCTGAAATGAACATTTCAATCTATTTGACAATAGTCATCTAGATGATGAATCTATATCTCAGAATTGATAGCCACGTTCTAACTTGAAACTGAAATGAGTCGCTTCACACCATAGAGAACTATGCATTACACCATTTGGTTACAATAACCAATACCGAATTTCCAAAACGTGTTTAAAATACTGAATTCTGGGTTAAAGTAACATGAATATTAAGAAAGTAAGAAGAGAAAAAGTGAACAACTGGTGCCTAAACTAAATTGGGGGATACGGAGAGTTCACTTAAGGGAGTTAAAAAAAAAATCATAATTTCAGACAAGTGGCGTAGATGTACTCCAGGATCCTGAGGGAACGAATGATGTATGAACCTATTTTAGTCGCTGGTTATCATGGGAACAGATTTCCTGATGTTGCTTCACTGTCTTATGGATTAGACCTCTAGGTTAAACGATCGAGGAATTGCTTACTTACTTACTTACGCCTGTTACCCCCAATGGAGCATAGGCCGCTGACCGCCTGGAGCCCCTCCGGGGGCTACTGCCGGTCCCAAGCCCGGATAAAGGAGGAGGGTTGGGCATGGGGTTAGCGTCCCCATCCCGTAGAAAACTAACTCGCTAAAAAACGCTAACCAGAAAAAAAATTATTCAATGCTGATCGAGGAATGGCTCTGTTGTAACGTGTGACTTGCAGGTTTTGATAAGCAGCGTTTATATCGATCGATCACAGTAACACGGAAAACACGTATGGACGACCTAGTGCCCTGACTGGTCCTGCTTCGCTGTCTATCCCCAGCCAGTTGAGTCTAGAACACAAGTCACAGCCTCTGAGTTATGAATCGTTGTATTTCAGACATACTCTATTTATATACTAACCAAACAAACCACATCGTACCATAGAGTAGAAAACAACATTTACACAATATGTAACGAATGAATTAAATAATAGCCAATAGGGGATGTATATTTAAAGTCCAAGGCCACCATAGACTTAACATGACAATGAATGGCACATTATTCTGCATCTATAACAGGCTCTCCAAGAAACCAGCGCACATATAAATAGGATGCGTGAAGCATATTATTTTAAATGCTCAGTTACACTACAGATATAAAAAACTGATAATATATCAGAAAAGCTTACTTATGTACTGGTGCCCATATCAAATAGATATGGAATGAATTGTACCCTGGATGAAACCTTCATTCTTTAATTAGCCGAAAAAAACCCTATATTGTTTAAATAATCTGATAATACAGTTTGTGACTAGAATGATCTTCATGTAAATTAGTAAGTAATGTAGGTATCCACCACGGCGATATCAGTGCATTGAAGATCGCATGTATACCTTGCTGACGAGTGTCAAATAACATAAAAGCTAGGTTCAGGGTTTCTTGTCAACTATCTCCAATCGCTACTTTACATCTCAACACAGTGCACTTGATGTCGATTCATTCAAACTAGCAGTCATATTGCAATTTCATCCATATATTTCGATCAGCATCAAGAAGTACTAGACAAACATTGATATAAATCACTGCTCAGTGATTTATTTAATTAGTCTCCTGATGATTGACTGGATTATGAAGACGTCAACATCTGGGGGTAAGCATGGGATACAGTGTACAGACAGGATGCAGCTGGACGATCTAGACTTCGCAGATGATCTGGCCCTTCTATCCCAAACGCAACAACAAATGCAGAAGAAGACGAACAGTGTAGCAACAGCCACAGCACCAGTAGGTCTCAATATACACAAAGGGAAAAGCAAGATTCTCCGATACAACACAGCATGCAACAATCGAATCACACTTTACAGAGCTTTGAAGGATGTAAACACATTTACATATCTGGGCAGCATCATTGAACATGGTGGATCTGATGCAGATGTGAAGGCGCTGATAGGAAAAGCAAGAGAAGCATGTCAGTCAGTCAGTCAGCTACAACGTAAGACCAGGCACATATGTGCATCGGTCCAGGTTGCCATACCTCATTAGCACAGCAAGATGAACACCGGATTCATAGCAGTGGTTAGGTCAAAGGTTGCAATAAGGATATAGTATAGGAAGAAAGAATTAGTTCGTAGACAGAAAGAATGAAGTGATCTTAGTCTCTTAGTTTAAGGGAAGACAGGGAGTGTATACACCGACGCCATTGTGATCGATTCCGAGCCATGTCCCCAAGAGTCTCCAACCATTGGTTACGATAGTCACGCGGACCCCAACCAAGTAGTCTGCATCTACCAACGTGGCTCAGACTAGAAGTTAGTGACTTCAGGCACTGATGCCACGTTTTGGTTTGGCCGCCCCTAACTTTCTTCCAACCATCCCCTACCCCGGTTAGCATTGCACGTCGTGGTAATCGGTGTTCAGGCATACGTAATACGTGGCCCAACCATCTCAGTCGATGAAGATTCATAACCTCATCAACTGATTTACCATCATTCCCTAATACCCTGCGTCTAACCACGCTATTACTAACCCGGTGATCCCAGCAGATGCCAACAATATTTCTAAGGCATCTGTGGTCAAATACTAGTAGCTTACGGGTGTCTTCTACTCTTAAGGGCCATGTTTCGCTGCCATAAATTAAAACAGAACGGACTGCCGCGCAGTATACTCGTCCTTTTATTGATAGACGGATATCTCGCCTTCGCCAAAGGTGACGCAAGTTGGCAAAAGCCAAACGAGCTTTTCGAATCCGTGCTGAGATTTCGTCCGATACATGTTCACAACTGTAAAATATCTGGAACTCAAAACAATAGTCAACCATCACCAAAGTCAGAATTTTCAATACAAATGTCAAGACAGTTCTACTGTATGGGGAGGAAACTTGGAGAACTACCAAAGCTATCATCCAAAAGATACAAGTGTTTAATAACAGTTGTCTAGACAAAATACTTTGGATACGTTGGCCAGACACTATCAGCAACTGGGTTTTTTTTTCTTTCAGATTCATCATTATTGCTACTTCCCAGTTTCAATTGTTGACAAATTTATTTTCTTTTTTCAACAAAAAGAAAAGAAAAGAAACACTTACTGCAGCTGACATGACAAAATCAACATGTGCCAAATTATCGTCATCTTTCTCAAACGTTACTGATTGACATGAAGAAATCACTGTGAAAGATAAAATACGCATAGACAGATATAGTCAGTTACAATCACAATAAGATAAATATAAGTAGTAGTAATAGTAGTATTGAAGATATTAAATTAGTGTGAAAATCAGTAACAGAGTGCAATGCAGTTGTATTTCACTGTTTGTCTTCTTCTTCTTCTTCTTCTTCTTATGTCTTCTTTTTTTAATCTTTCGATCCCATTATTGCAAACTGTATTTCTCATTTTAAAGTTTTCATTACATTACTATTACTATACAGATTAGAATTTTGACTGACTATAACTAGTAACTTGACATGATAGTAGAGATGATTCAGCTGAGTTCTAAATGGCTTGTTCATCATTTATTTCTTCTATATAAGAAAGATTAATTGAAGAAGAGCCGTAAAACTAAAAAAGAGCAAATATGCGGTTTGAGGGTGCAATTGTAATACGGACTATGTCGGATTGTGATAGTAGTAAACTGTTCTTTTCAGACAACCAGTAACTCCAAGGTCGATGCCTTTTTATAGTTGAAAGAGGTATCAGAAAAGATCAACCTGAAAAATAATACACATTAGCGGTTAAGTGCTCGGGCGCGAAACCAGTAGGTCCTGGGTTCGAATCTCGCAGGGGGCGAGGTCGTGGATGCGCACTGCTGAGGAGTCCCGCAATAAAACGAAACGGCCGTCCAGTGCTTCCAGGTTTTCCATGGTGGTCTAGCTTCAACTGACTCATGATCTTAACTATTGACATTACACCTTGTCCAACGGATCTTTGGTCCCGGTTGTAATAATCGACAAGTATAGAGCAAGTATATCAAAAGCAATTAACAAAAAGGCCTATTTTCAACTTCGCTTAGTTTTTAAGCTACAGAGTGTTCTATTAGAACTTTAAAACATTCAATAAAAATTAAATTGATCAATGAACAGAACACGTTTAGACATGGTTGCTATTTGGAAACAATCATCGTCTATGTCTACATAAACACCAACTAGGTACTAAATGCCAAAATATGGTATCACTTCTATTAATTTATGCGAACAACAATGGACATGAGTTCAAGTAGAAAAGGTCAAAATATTGAACAGAGCAAGCATAAAGAAAGTCAGAGAATTTATCAAAACTTAGCACTCTAACACCTTTAACATAGAAGACCTGAGCAAAAACTATTTTCCACCATTTGAAAGTATTGCGTAGACTCGATTACAATCTATCTCGACGCGCAATATTGGCTGAAGTAGTAGTATGTTGGGAGAGAGTAATAGGTTGGTCGAACCAAGACACTACATTATTCCGTAAAAGCGTTGATTGTTGGACTAAACCATGTTGGTGAGTGCAGACCACCTAGTTGGGATCCACACAGTGACTGGAGATGTTAGATGATATGGTTTAGAATTTGTCAAAATGACTCAGATCTTTTAACTTTCTATTCTTCGCTGAATCTTGAGTTTCAAAATAATCTTATTCTTTTCATTTCACGGACTTATTAATTTTTTCTGAAATCATATTGCCTATACTCATTACTGACATTGTAACACCGGATAATACAGTAGACATCTAGCAACGTATAGTAGACTGTATACGAGTAGAAAAAACACAGAAGATGTTTCTATAAAATATAAAATATCTTTATAGTATATTTGGGTCGCGGCTAGTAAGTTCAACCTATGTAAGACTCGTTAGTTGGATGTACCTGCACATTCGAAGTCTTGATTTTCTAACTCAGTACCTTACGGTAACGTGTTATCCACTGAAATACTGAGTGCAGGTATGCCAATAAAGGTTGATCAAAAAACCGAGTCCTGAATATCAACAACAGGATAATTCAGACCTTTATAATAATTATTATTATTCATATTTTCGATTTCATTATCAGTTAATTAAACATGAAATAGTCAGAATTTTGTGCAGTGCTAATACTACTACTAGTATTATTATGATTATTCCAAGTGCTGGTGGGCGGCCCGTGCTCCTCCACGAGGAGTAACAGGCGTAAGTAAACTCCTTAGTAAGTAAAGTAAATTTCTGATAACAAGATGTTCAATAAAACAAGCAAAAGATAGTCAATACTTGCTACATGTCACATACTCAAGTATGTATACCAATATCACAATAAGAAAAATCAGATTAAAAAGATGGAAAACTCAGGATTTACACAACTTTCAACAGACTGCCTTGTTTTTGATCTTTCTCTTATCTACTACTAGTTCCTGAGATGGCTATGAAAACAACCATGAATATCCCTAGACTACCCCCCCTCACAGCAGACCACACATCCAAGTAAGTCTATAGAATTTGACCAACAATAAGAACTGGACAAATACGGAAATGGTTGCTATTTATCAGTTTGTCAACGTAAACACCTAAATACAATGAGAGATCAGGTCAGTATTAACGTTTCAGACAGTAACGTTGTATGATGCGGGTTCGAGAGCTACAGTGAACATCAGTTTCACCAATATTGCAGATACACCTTGTGGACGAGTGAATTCGGTCGATATTGCCATTTTTAGACAATAATGTAATAGGTGTCCGAAGTGTTAAGTACTTGGTTCGAATGTCAGTGTGGATATCAAACACAAACTTATTACCTAAAACAATCGGAGAACAGGATACAATAATGTTATTAGTGTTCACCAAATCAGTAAAATCGAAAAAACCCATATCAGGGACAAATTGAACTTAGCCTGATAAAAAGAAGACAATATTGACTCATTTACCAGATCTAAATTTATGTACACGGTTTTGAGCCGCATACAATACTCAAATCTTTACAGGACACCGAAGACTAAGTAGTTTGATATTCGATTAACAGATATCCGGAACCTAGTTCAATCTGTCACAGACTAGAATTAAATAAGTTTGATTATTAGTGCCACTATGAATGTGAGAGACATCCATAGTAAAACCAAACCTACAAGTAAAGTAAGTTCAATTGAATAAATGAAAAGTTGTATGAATACAGTATAGTAAGAAGAAACTCAAATAACTCATAATTTAACACTGTCATTTATCAGTATGAGTACGTATGCTGGTGAGCGATCCTATTGAAATTATTATTTCCTAGGCATTATCATCAACCAATATCAAAGTCACAATCATTAATACGAACGTCAAAGTAGTTCTATTGTATGGAGCTGAAACTTGAAGAACTACTACAACCATCATCAAGAAGATACAAGTATTTATAAATAGTTGCCTATGCAAGATACTCAACATCCACTGGCCGGATACCATCAGCAACAGCCTTCTCTGAGACAGAACAAACCAGCTTTCAGATCAAGAGGAAATTAATAAAAGACGACGGAAATGGATAGGACATACATTACACAAATCATCAAACTGCATCACGAGGCAAGCACTAACTAGGAATCCTGAAGGGAAGCGGAAAAAAGGAAGGCCAAAGAACACATTACGTTGGGAAATAGAAGCAGATATGAAAAGGATGAATAACAATTGGAAGGAGCTGGAAAGGATTTCCCAGGACACAGTTGGACGGAGAATGCTGGTGAGCTGTCTATGCTCCTTCACGACGAGTGATAGGCACCAAAAGAAGAAGAAGGCATTATCATAACATAGCAACTAGGTTATAGTGTATAATTCTTTCTCATAATTGAAGAGATATATATGTATAAATGTCTGTATAAGTGAGTAGAAAAGAAAGAAAAAAAAAGGATACTATCCAAATTTGTCTGATAGATACAATAATGAAGTTCATATGATTGGTTTAACAAGTTTATATTAATCTATAGACAGGCTTAAATAATTATTCTTTATGTATGTACAACAATGTATATGCATCGAACTCATCTAATGTTTACATGATTTCATCAGCAATAACTTGTCTAACATCGTATTTAATCTTATCCATACCCAATACAAACAACAAGTCCTTATCATACATATGAATGTATCAATTTCTAAAATAGGTGTGTATAGATAAATGATGAGATGATGAAATGTTGAAATAGAGACTAATGAGATTAAAATAAAAGACACTTCTATAGGTACTCATATGTATATATATAAGCATGTGTATATACATACAGGTTATACATACACTTGAATAGTGACTGGAAAAAAGTCAACCTTATATTTTGATACTACAAATAGGATTTACTTGATAGATTGGAGTAAACACCTATCTAATTGATGTCTGATATATTCTGTTTATTTCAATCGTTGAGATCATGAGTCAATTGAAGCCACACCACAGTGGAAAACCTGAAAGCACTAGATGACCGTCTCATCCTAGTATAGAACTCCTCAACAGTGCGAATCCAAGATCCCGCCTCACGAGATTCAAATCCATTAACTATCAGTCTCGCGCACAAACGCTTAACTTCTAGACCACTGAGTCGGCATCCAACTATGTTGATGTCTAACTTCAACCAATACACGAAATCGAGCAACACATCCACTTATGAGGAGTCTCACAATAAGACGAAATGGTCATCCAGTGCTTCCAGGTTTTCCATGGTGGTCTAGATTCAATTGACTCATGATCTTAGCTACTGAAATTACTATAATATCCACAAAAACCCCTTCTGATATTCTAGTTGTTTGATTTTTCCCGTAGTTAATATATTAAGGATTGCAAATGATCGATCCCTATTAGGATATATATATCGTGATGAGTGGATGCTTCAAATATTGTCATTTGGTTATAAGTTATCATTACATTTTGATTGTAGCTAGCAGTGTGATACAGCAAGTACGTTTTATCTCTTTTAAAGCAGGAAAATTCTAACTCTTACAAAAAAAAAACCTCACATCTATTGAACAAGTTATTGGATTTCTGGACTTAGTAACTTATTAGGTGATGCATTTGGAGCGATTTGTATAGGGTTCGAGTTTCAGCATAAAAATTGAGCACCGAAATAAAGATGCATCTAGCAAACACTTTAAAACACATGTACTGGATTCCAATTTTAGCTATGACCCAGTTTTCCTAATACTTATGTCTAAATGACATTATCAAAGCTAGCCGTTCAGGATGCATATATAATTGATCAGAC